CTATTATTGTTCATGCTTCATTTTCTGGCGCCCAGAACTCTTTCTTATGCTTGGCAATGACTTTTTACGGAAAAAACTACAAAGTTATATGAACCGCCGAGTGGAAGTATTTCAGACTTCAAGTATGGTTTACTACAGATGGAAGAAAAAGAATAATTCCATTATACCATGCGTTTTACTTAGAACTTAGTTTCATATACAACTACTATCGAAACGATAAAAATATAATTTTTTAATACGGTTGAGTGTTGGATTTGGTTGCCAACTAGACTGTGGTGCAGGTTCAGGCTGTTGTATAACAGGAGCTTGTTCTTCTGGTTCAGGGGTCTTTAGGTATAATACCAACGAACTGACCTACTCTTTTACCAATATTTTTGACTCCGTTCCAAATTCCTTTTCCTACGGTTTTTATTCCATTCCATATACCTCTTCCAACTCTTCTGAAGAAGTTTCCAATACTACTGAAGAAACCCATTTTACTATATGTAAAAATCTAATGTCCGCCTAGTCTCTTACGTTTCCTGTTGAGTTCCATAGCATTCTTTAACTGGAGCTCATACATTCTGTTTCTCCTCTGTAGAAAAAATATTCTGGGTCAACTCCTGTGTTCGCGTCATCTGCATAAAGTTGTTTATATCCCACTTCAGGGTTTGTATAAAAATCTTTCCATCTCATATTTTGCATACCATGGTGGCAAACCTAACGCAGCGTCATTTGACATGGCAGTTTGCATTTGTACATCTTTGGCACTTGACCATAGTTTGCCATTGCAGTTGTATTCTAACTTCATTTGAATATTCTCTGGGTTTGGTTGTCCAGGTTGCTGTGCATTCGCTAAGTTCTGTGCGTCCATTTAATATTAGATAAAAATATCTCTTACGAGTACATATACTGAACATTTGCAGGCATTGGTTCATCTTCATATTCTCTGTACTTTTCTGCCACGTCAAATAAATAAATGACACAATGGAAAAAACCTAAAACTAACAATCCGATTTCAAACCACATTTACTTACTAATAAAATTTCTTTATTGTGACACTTTCTCCGGTTTATAGGACCTCTCTCATATTCTATCTTGTCATATCTAAACTCATAGTCATGTATGTCCTCTAACCATCTCATAACGGTTTCCAAACCACTTTTATCGGATGTAAAGTAAAAGCATGGATGGTTATGTATAACGTCTAAAGTTTCTAAAGAGTCTCTCAAAGTCCAGTCTACTTGGTATTGAAAATCCCATGTGTTATAGAACGGCGGGTCCACTATAAAGAAAACATTTTCCTTGTCTTTATATTTTTCATACAACTCTGTCCAATGACATCTCACAAACTCTATACCCTCAATATATTTTTCTATGTTCTCTTTGAAAACATTTGTATAGTTAAGATATAAAACTTTTGACATAAGTGTTTCAATGTCATGAACTCTTATAGCACCACTATATAATAGTCTAGCAGATATACTATCCCAGTCTATATATTCTGCTTTTTTCAAAACCTCTCTCACAATATTTTTCTTATCTAATGGTATACGTTCCATCTTACCTATAGGTATCTTTTCTTTTAACTCTTTCAATATATTGTTTGTGTCTGGTATATGTTTGAGACGGTCCATATAGTTGTCGAAGTCATTGCATATAATCTTTGAGTCTGGGAATATTGTATGGCACAAATGGGATATATAGAAACTTCCACCGAACAAATCTACAAATGTTAGACCATTCGGTAGTTTCTTAAGTTCTCTCAATATAATATCTTTACATCTACTCTTATTTCCAAAGAACGGTAACGGTGGTTTTGTAAAATTCATTTATATATAATAATAAAAATGTTTTTACCCGAAAAGTGACAGAAAAGTGACAAAACATGAAAACATATATAATTTGTGAAAAGCGACACAAAAGTGACATTTTAAAAGTGACATCATTAATATGATGTAAATAACAACGGTTTTGGTTTTGTCACCGGCTGGTCGGCTGGGGTTCGGTCCTCCTCTTGGGTCTTGGGCAAAATTCTTAGGGCTAGAAGGGGCGCAGCCCCTGGAAGCCCCTCATACCTGACCTAATTCATGAATCAATGGAAAATTTTCTCAAAAAAATGTAATCTGATTTATAAAATCAATTGTTCGACACAAACAACAATAATATACTAATCTAACTCAAAGCATTAAGCAAAAAATATCATCAAAATGAAAATGACAAAATAATGAAAAGATAAAGGAATGAAACAGGAAAACTTTATATATTTATTGTACATATAATCAATTGTTTCTCAAATCCAGATTATTAGATGGTTGGGAAATGAAAGGTCAATTCAGTTCAATTTCACGGATATGTATTGTTAATGGTTATTGAATTTTTGACAGACTGATCGCCGATTCAATTAAATTTTGCAAATTACCTCAGACTTTTCAGAGGATTGAGTGGCAACTCAATCCTCTGAAATAGTCTGTGGTAATTTGAGTGTGGGACAAACTATCTAGTGTCACTTTTTTATTAACCTTATTTTAAAAAATTAATAAAATAATAATAAAAAATTATTTGAATCTTTTACATTAATTGTTTCTTTTTTAAAAGTACCTTTAAAGTACAATAAACAAGATTTGAATCTATTGATCCTTGTTGCAAACTTGAATATATTGCTTCAAGCATTTTCAAACATTCGACTTTTTTGTTTTCCAATATTTGTTCATGGTCATTAGCTTTTCGTAATATACGAACAACTTTATCACTATTGATTAATTGAACTTTAAATTTAATCAATAATGCTGGAACAACCGTTGTGTATAATTCAACAACAAAATCGTCTAATCGAATATTCCTTCTCTCTGGGAAATAAGAATGCTTGAGAACTTTGAAATGTGACTCACTGACGTTATTAGTCGCGTCACCTCCGTTGCGATAGCGCTTATTCCAACGATCTAAATGATGCCTCCATTGCCTATCGAAGTACTTTTGGGCTTTCGGTTCAGTGGAAAGAATTTCAAGAATTCGATCATAAACTGCATCTAGGTCTGCAGCTTCTTCTTGAGTGAGGTGCTCTGGAACTTCTTCACTTGTTTCAAACGTTTCTTCTTCTGGAATAAATTCAGAATCGTTTGGATCATCAGAAGATTCTCGTGGTAAAAAGATTTGAGAAGGTTGAAATTCATTTTCGATGAATTCTTCTTCATATTGTTCCTCTTCTTCAATTTCTTCTGCTTGAAGTAAGTGAGATTGAGCTGGTTCCTCTCTAGGATTTTCTTCTTCTTGGTTCTGTTCTTCCTCGGGAGATTCTTCTTTAGTATCGAATACTAATAATTTCATTAGATTATAAAATTCTTCAAAATTGTCTCGTGATTTAAACTTATCCGCTTTTCTTAATATGGCGCGAAGGACATGCACGCCACACCAAAGAATATGACAGTTTGGAATACCTCGCTCAATTGCCTCGGCTATTTGTGGGGCGCAGTCCATACTTATCATCTCGGGTTCTCTATTAATATATTGAAAATAACGACAAACACAATATTGAATATTTTCGCTTGTGTCAGGAGAAATAAAGAAATACAAAAAAGGAAAAACAATAGTATGTTCTGTTTTTCCTGTGAGTGCATATAATGGAATGTTAGCCCTTAGAAGTTTATACGTTGAATCGATGTGAAACGTAGAAATTTGGTGACCAAGGGCCTTCGCTTCGAAAGGTGCATATAAAAAAACTAGTTTTCCCGGCTCAGAGATAAATTCAATTAAATCTTCTGGACAACTTTCTTGAACAGATTCGACAAAGATAGCTAAAGAAACTTTTTCATCCGAACTAAAGCGTTTGGAAACAATTTCAGCTCTTTGAGCAAATTTACGTAATGCATCTGGACCTTGTGCAAATATTGAAAGTAACTCTTCGTCTGTATATGAAATATTTAAGTCTTGAAAACACTTAAGTTGAGCTGTAGCATGATTCATATTGTTTTCAAAGTAATGTTTAAGATAATTTCTGACAAATAATGAGGATATTGTTTTTGTTGATTTCGGAGGTGCAGAATGATCATGAGAGTCAGAGTGGATTAGTAGTTCATATTTATCTTGATCTATTATCCGGACTTTGAATTTAGCTTGACATTGTGGATACTTACATTTGTATTCGATCGTGGAGTATTCTTTCCTGCATTTTTGAGAGTAGCCCATGCTAGCTTTTATCTCTTCTTGGATACCAAACTGGAGGAGCTCCATAGTGTTGAATATCACGGGCTCCATACAACAAATTGAATAAGGTATTTCAAAATTTGAAGGAAATGGTCCATCATTGAATGTAGTGGCCGGGAATTGAATGACATACAGATAGTTTGAGGAAATTTGTTATAAATTATAATATAATTGAAGAATTAATTATCAAAACAAGTCTAAGAGCCATTAGTCAGATTTCCCCGAAATGCAAGGTTAAGATTTTAGCAGCGACTAACTTTGAGTGTACATATATAATTGTTATACTGAGTACTTTCTATCTGTGTTACTTATTTGAGTCTAAGAGTCATTTCTACCATAGAACTAGATATTGTCTCTCATTAAATATATATAACTGTAAACTGCTTAATTCATTTATCTATTTAGATAAAATTATATTTATATAAGAGTTCATGTTATTATTTCATCTTTATTATTTTTTTTATTCCTTTGAAAAGTGACACTGGATAGTTTGTCCCTTTCTCGTGGTAATTTTTAGTCTCTACACTATTTCAATATAAGCTCCATTTTTAAACAGTTTTTAAAAATCGAGCATTGAAAAATGTGATGAGACTTTTGAATTATTTAATTTAGCTCAAGTAATATAATAAATATATAAGCAATATTTTTGTTTACATCGTTCTCAATATTTCTGAGAAATTGAAAATTCATCTCAAATTAATGATCCCCAAAAAATTGTTAGAATTTTACTTATGATTATTTTAGAACTATCAGAGACACTATGTTCTACAATATTAGTTTCAATACTACATAAATTTTTTAAAATTCATATTTCATCAATGTTTTTAATTGCCTTATCCTATATCAGACATGACCAAATAGATGCTCATATACAGAAAGAATCAACTCCCTCATTTCAAGAAGTTAAGCTTGATGTAAATCACACTGAAACTAAACTTGTTTTTATTGATACCGAGACCAAACTTCATGGAACAATAATTAATAGTGGAAAGAGAAGTGAATTCTATCGTTCGTCTATTGTAATCAATGATAAAACAGAATTTTCAAATAATTATGCATTTTGTGCAGGATCAGCGGCCGGCATAGGTGGAGCCATATTTATCTCTTTCTCAATGCTTACATGCGGCGAAAACGTTGAATCAATCATCTTCAAAAAGAATGAAGCAAGTGTTGGAGGAGGAATTGCTTCTCTTTCATCAGCTGTTTATCTTGACAAGGTCACATTTTCTGGTAATACTGCTTTCAAGTATGGAGGAGCCATCTATTACCAAGGATTTGTCCCCTCATTGATTACAACACCTCCAGGTGCAATGAAAATAGTAACACAAGATTGCACATTCAGAAATAATGCGGCCTATGAATTAGGCGGCGCAGTGGCCGCTTTCCATGCCCTTGAAGTTTATCAGGAAAGATCTTTGATTACAAAGAATTCAGCAAATTTAGCTGGTGCCGGCATGTACATATCAAATACAGAGAACATTAAATTATATCAGTGCTATATCTATAGTAATCTCATTAAGAGTTCTTTGTATCGCCAATTTGGAAATGAAAATCCATTTTCTTCCAAATCAAAAGGCCTCCAATTACATGAACTGCAAGATTTACCAGCTCCAACCTTCTCATATCGTGGTGGATCAGGTTTATTCGTTGCATCAAACTCAAATTCAGGAAGAAAAGATATTCAGACTGTAATTTATACACACCATAACTGTATATCAGGTAACAATCCAGGAACAACAGTAAGTCTCCAAGATAAAACAGGAAATGACATTTTATTTGTTGGAAGTATCAAATGGACATCATATGAAGATAACATCAATGGAATTAATAGTACAGATGACATGAATAACATTGTTTTCTTCTCAAACGAAACAAGTAAAGGAGAAACTGAATTTATAAAATTAAATTCTGCTTCAATTGTTGAAAAATGCAATGGAAACACAGATTATGCAGCTGCAAAGCCTATAACAGTTGGACCAAAGAAAGTAAACAGACAGGTTCCAAATAATGATGCCGTAGATAAAACAAGTGAAATTCCAAATCCAACAAAGTTTACTTATGTTGCAACACCAATTACAAAATATACTAAACCATATAGTGAAAAAGTAAAATTCGATATTGATGAAGAATTCCCATTCAATCCTATAACACAAGCTCCATATTCAGAAACCAATTCTGTTTCGAATAATTCTGTTGAATCAAGCAAACCAACAGAGGGCCAAAACGCTGCAAATCCAAGAAAGAAGACATCAATAATATGGATTATCGTTGGATGTGTTTGTGGTGCCATTTTGATTGGTTTAATCCTTGCATTTTTCATCATTCGCTCAAGGAAGTCAAATGAAGAAGAGGACACAAAGAGCTCATGCGAAATGGTTGAAGAAACAGTTATTTCTTCAATTCGTGCAAATGATCTTGCTGTTACAATTGATAATCCATTATGGACTACAACACAAGATAATGATAACAGTGATCCATTCCGCACAGAGTTTGAAGAGAAAAGAATGGTGTTTAACTTTAATTTATAAATTTGTTTATTTGAGAATAAATTCAAGATTATATTGTTTTTTATACATGAAAAGGTGTTATCGCTTAATATTTCATATCACCATGATAAGGTAATTTGAATACAGGAAATGTCCATATTGAGTATTCGTTCACATAAGATCAAATTAGATTTGAGTCAAATATGAATAACCTCTTAATGTACAAAAACAGATAAGAGTACGCATAAACCTACAAACATTATCTCACTCACAACTTTCTCTCTTATTTGGTCACTCAAGATGAGCAATCCATCAATAAAAATTTGAGAGTGCGATCAAAAAATCGATATCGCACATCTATTTTGAATTTTTACATTAAGTATGATAACATTGATTTGTGAAGTCACCAATTTTCAATCATCATAATTCAATTTTTGTCATTATTATGGAAGTTATCCCAAGCATCGGCTTAGGCACATTTCTTGCTGAAGATCCTGCTGCATTGAAGGCAGCTGTTCATTCTGCTATAGAAGATAGTGGATATCGCCATGTTGATTGTGCGGCCTACTATAAAAATCAGGAAATAATTGGAGAAGCTCTTTCAGAAATATTCGCGAAAGGTCAGGTCAAGCGTGAAGAAGTTTGGATTACATCCAAAGTTTGGAATACAAAGCACAGACCAGATCTTTTGGTTAAAGATGTAAAGAAAACACTTAAGGAGCTTAAGCTCGAATATTTGGACTTAGTCCTTGTTCACTGGGCTTGCGCGTTTCAGTCTCGCGAGGATGATGAATACCTTCCAAGAGATGAAACAGGAAAAATCATCACAGAGAACATTGATATCTTGGAGACATGGAAGGCAATGGAAGAGTGCTACAATCTTGGCCTTGCTAAGCATATTGGCGTTTCAAACTTTTCAATTGAACAACTTGAGAGAATGCGCTACGATCCAGGAGTCAAAATCCAACCATATTGCAATCAGGTAGAATCACACATGTATCTTCAACAACAACCAATGCTCGATTACTTAACACAGCGTAAAATGTACATGATTTCTTATACATGCCTTGGAAGAGCCACACTTAAAGGCCCATATGGATATCCATTGCTTCAGGATCCTGTTTTGAACGAAGTCGCCAAGGAAATCGGAAAAACTCCAGCACAAACAAATCTCAGATTCCTCCTGAAGCTTTCTCCATATGCAGTTGTCATTCCGAAGTCTTTGAACCCTGCCAACATCAAGGGCAACATTTCTCTTGATTTCGACTTAACTCAGGAACAATTTGAGAAACTCCGCAGTCGCCAGTGCGGATGGAGATTTGTTAACCCATATCCAAACTGGAAGGTTGATGCTTTATCATTAGGCTTCAATTAATTATTTTGAATTTGCGAATTAAATATTTTTTTTTAAATTGATTTTTTTACTCACCGATTACTTATATAGAAACAGCAACTAATTTAAAAAAAGATATTGTTTTTATTCAAATTTATATTTAAAAGTTAAATAATTCTCATAAGGACATCTTCGAGCTGTTCAACAGAGAATGAATAATCTTCGAGGCCAAGATCATTCTTATTATCATCAAGGTATGCTAGCAATTCAGGGATTTTGCCTGAAACTGGTAAGGCAATAGAGTCTTCCTTTTCTTCAAGAATTGATGCTTCTGGAACAAACATCTTTGCAGTTTCCAATATCTTTGGTATGCTTTCTGGTTCACATTCGACTTTTAGAACGTATCCACATTTGAATTTGTTTCTAAGTTCAGTTGATGTTCCCATGAATGGCAATTTACCACCAGAAACGACAAACATACGTGAAGAAACAGCTTCAGCTTCTTCTAATGCATGTGTTGTGATAATGCACGTGGATTCCTTCAAGTTTGAAATTGACTTCCAGATAAGCTGTCTTGCTTGGACATCAACACCTGCTGTTGGTTCATCCATCATGATTATTGGTGGATTACCAAGTAAGGCCAAAGCAACACAGAGCTTTCTCTTCTGACCTCCAGATAAATCACCAGCTCTATTTGGTAACATTTCCTTAAGCTGAAGATTATCTGCAAAGAAATCAATACTATCTTGCAAAACTTTCTCTTCAATTCCTCTGATTCTGCCAAAGATTTCTAAATGTTCACGGATTGATAATAACCTGGATATTACATTTTCTTGGAAAACAATTCCAAGGCAATTTTGGATTGAACTGAATTGTGTTGAAGGTTTACTATCACCAAGAGCCATCGATCCACTTGTTGCAGGAATTGCTCCAGATATGACGTTAATGATTGATGACTTACCTGCACCATTTGGACCAATCATGACTATAATCTCTCCTTTCTTGACATTGAAAGAAACGTCATCAACAGCATTGATACCTTTCTTTCCATAATTTTTAATAAGTTTATCAACTGTAATAATAGCATCATCTTCTTCAATATTTTCTAATTCAACATCAGATGAAACCTGTAACCGGCATTTTATTAAATCACGCCATCTAATTAATGGTGAGCCAAATCCTCTTTCGTTTGTTGCATTAAATAATATGAAAAGGGCGCCCCATATGAATATATCGAGAGTTAACCACATAAATGCATACCAAATTGGATATTGGTATTTATCACTGGAAACATCTCCCCATTTGACTGGTGGCCTATTAATTCTTACTTGCTCATAAGTAGTTGAGATTGCAAGTTCCCATGCAACAAATGGAATTATGGAGAAAATATGCTTGACAGCAGGCTTTGCCTCCATTGTGTAAACAGCATTAAGATAAGCGAAGAAAATAATGAGAATTAGGAATACAACTGTGAGAACTCGACCAGATCCGGACTTTGTGAAAAATGTAGATAAGAAGTTCTGGAACATAATGTAAGATAAAATGAAAAGTATTGACAAAACTAGAAGCATTGTGAAATCTGTTCCTTTCATTGCAAGCCATGATGAAAATAGAATGTCAAGGACAATATATGGAATCAAGCACATGATGAATGTGGATATAATATTGACAATCCAATATGCTGTTTCACTAGCTCCCATTAAATATATGAAAGTCATCATATGTGATTCTTTGTCATTCAATACAAGGGAGAGATCTGGCATAGCTGCAATAACCACTGGGATTGCTGCAAACATTGCGACGGCCATATTAATTGGCATACTGTTTGTGATCTCAGGTCTGTGCATTCTTGTGGTATTGATCTTTGGAACGGTGAAACCACTGATCGAACTTGGCGCGAAATTAAGAAGCTTCTTTAGGTTTTCCTTTTGTGTGGCATCAAGTTCTGTATCACTTTCAATAAAAGTACTTAAATTTTTTGCTAAAATAGCATTTGCAGAATTCAATGCAATGCCTACTCCTTGATATGCAAGTCCTGATATAAGATCAAGATTATTTGGATATGAAATGACAGATGTTTGAACCTCTATGAGCTCTGCGGATAAGTTCATGTACCATTTTTCATCATTTGCATTATCTCACCAAATTCCTGTTGTAAAACTATCCGATTCCTTAATGGATTCCTTGATTTCATCTTTATTATCTAACCAATGGTATTTTTCTGAAACGTTTACCCAATCTTTAATGCTCTTTTGGAGATTTCCAGTTTCTTTTAACTTATCAAAATCAATTAATGGTATGAGTGCTGCTCCCCATGTACTGTTAATTAATTGGTGCAACAATGGCGAACTATTAGGACCAATAATCAAGTTTCCACCTTTACCGAGTTCAACAACCATATTATACTTCAAAACGGCATTTCCAAATAATTCATCTGATGATAAAATTTCTGTTTTGGTAATTGGATCCGATGGGTTATCTGAAAAGTTCCAGAATACAATCAATATTACTACAAGAAATGTTGCAATAAATTCTGATGCAATGACACCCATATCTCTAATTTTCAATAACATTGATCTTCTGAACAATGAACCAAGAGTCCTTCTAAATGAAGGTTTTCTGTCGGTCCACACACCTCCTGGTGTAAGAAGTGATGAATCAGTCTTTTCTTCACTCATTATGACTAAAATGGTTTCTTTATCAAATTTCTGAGCCCTTCAAATTTATTCTCAAAAAAAGTTCATTGCGATCAAGTTATATTGAAAGGGTTTGATCGCAAACTCTTTCGTTTTATACTTATTTTATATCAACAATCAATATTTACTGGTGAAAAACTTCAAATTTTATGACCTTTCAATTTTTTTGAGATATCATTCAATTTCCATGATCGCAGTTCATTGAAAAATAATTTTTATCGTATTAGATTCATAATCAAAATAATGACTGAAGATAGTGTGCCTCCTAGCAACACATCAGTGAAATCGAAAAAGGAACATTCTAGACGTTCCTCAACTATTTCTAGAAGAACTACAGAAATCATGAGCACTTATCCTGATGAAAAAGATAATTTAGATAAAGCTCATCCATTCAGGGATCAATTTAAATCAATGTTTTATAGACGTTGGATTGGACTTAAGCGCTCTTGGGGATCAGTACTTTCCAATTTACTTGTCACATTAGTTGTATCATGCTTAGCAATTGCCGTAAAATATTTTATGGAATCAGTTGCCAAAGACACTAGTACCCTTTATAACTTCAGCGCATTCCCGGTAAAACCACATGCATTAGCTGTTGTTGCAAGCGATTATCCAAATTACATTAGCAAACCTTTCCAGAAAAGATACATTAATGCAATTTACAATGTATTTAATTCCGATGTGGGATATCCTCCAGATATTCACGTATTTCCAAATTTAGATGAAGCAAACAAGTATATTTATGATTGTAAGAACAATGATGTATTTGTTGCAATGGGAATACAGTTACCAGAAGAATTTAATCCTAATGGCGGAAATAATCTCACAATGATTTGGAATGATACAGTTGAAATGAATACGGGTTCTGCTACTTTTCCAAACATGTCATATATCTCATATTCGATTATGTACAGGGTTGAATTAGCAACACTTTCAACTGTTGCAAATATGAGTGATACAACATATGATAGCGTTCCGCCGAAATATAAGATGTTCATTAATGCATTCTATGATGCAGTTGGATTTTCAAAGCATGCAGATTTCAGTCCAAAGTACTCCATGTATACTGGTAAAGGAAGGGATGTCATGTTTGCAATTGCATCGCCTTTACTAATTGCTGCAGGTTTAACATCAGTCATCTCAATCTTTATTGTGGTTCCAATCACAGATATACAAGGACCTATTAGAGCGTATATGGTTTCATGTGGCCTCCAAGTTTTACCCTACTGGATTGTTACATTTGTTTTCGACTTTATTTATTGGACCATTGAAGTTTTGCTTGTTTGGGTAATATTCATAATAGCTGATGTAAGTGTATTCACTGAAAATAAAGGAGTATCATTTTACATCATGTTTATCTGTGGACCTTCATTGATATTGTTTATTTATGTCATTTCCTTCATATTCAATACTGCAGATTCAGCATCAAGAAATGCATTTATTTGCGATATCATTCTTCTTATGATTCCATTAATTGTGACACTTGTTACTTTAGATATGGAGGATCCACTTGGCTCTTTCCAAAAGATTGAATGGACAGGATGGATATATGAATTATTCCCTCCACTATTACTAGAAGGATATATGCAGCATGTCTTCACCGAATATTCATACAATAAAGAAGGACTTAAGTATTATTTCAAGAATGCATCAGCTGCTCAACCATATTCGATCTTTGCATTTGTTGATATCATTATTTATGGAGTAATTCTCATCATTATTGAAAAATGGAGAATTTATATTCAGAGAAAGTCTGCCAAGTCCAATTTTGGTGATTATCATGAATTCTTCGAAACCGAGAAAAACAAACATCCAGTAACAGAAGAAGCACATCAAATGGAGAAGGAAGTTGAAGCATCAAGCGATTATGCAGTGAGGATTCATAATGTATCCAGGCTTTTCTTCAACACAGAAGGAAAACCTATTCCTGCTGTCAACTGTGTATCATTAGGCGTCAAGGAAGGATCAATTTTTGGATTTCTTGGAGCTAATGGTGCTGGTAAAACAACATTAATTAACATGATTACTTCACCCCTTCCCCCATCAGATGGTACAATCCATATTCATGGCAAAGATATAATGACAGATAATGATCCATCCAAATTGTCTGTTTGTCCACAATTCAATACCCATCTTTGCATGGATATGACAATTGCAGAACATTTCCATTTCTATTCCTTACTTCAAGGAATGAGTCCTCAACATGAAGAAAAGAACAGCAAAAGATTATTAGAACTTCTTGAACTCAATGACTTCAAAGATTTACCAATCAGAGAACTCTCAGAAGGCGATGCAAGAAAGCTTGCCATTGCATTATCTTTCTTGGGAAAGGCTTCCATTATCCTTCTTGATGAACCAACTGCAACATTGGATCCGGTATCCAGAAAACAAATCCATGAAATGATTTTATACTATAAGGGACAAAAGACATTCATGCTTTGCACACATCTTCTATCTGAAGCAGAATTCCTTTGTGATACAATATCAATCATGATCAAAGGCAATGTTTACACAGTTGGTTCACCTTAATATTTGCAGTCCAGATTCGGAACAGATTACAAGATTGATATGCAGCTTGTCGATGAGTCAAATGAAGTTGGAGAAAAAGTTGATAAATTCTTTCAAGAAACCATTCCACAAGCAATTCTATCTATTAAAAGGCCATCTGCCAGAATTTACAATGTTCCTGCCGTTGGCATCACTTTGGGAGCTCTATTTAAGAAGATGGAAGAAGGTAAGAATGGAGATAATGGATTTAATTATTATACATGTTCCTCATCTTCGCTTGAGAAAGTATTCATGGAAATTGTTCGTATTTCCGAAGGTGAGGAAGAAAGTTGATCATTTTAAAATTACACGTGAAAATTAAAATCATTTTATTCTATAATCAATGAAATAAAGCTATAAATTTTATTTAATCATATTCTTTTTGATAATTTTGATTTTGTAAAATTAATAATCGAATTTAATATTTTGAACCATTCTTTTGATAATTTGTAGGTTAAAATGTGGAATATCTTTAGATGAAATTCACAATTAATAATACTTGAAATTTGAAATAAAATCGACTTCATTTTCATTAACAATGCAGCAACTATATGTCATTAGCGTCTGATTGTACGTTTTTATAAGGAATGTGCAGATAATATTATTTAAAAAATTATTAAATGTACTCCTGTTTTGCAAGAAAAAAGATAAGTGGTATTTGGACATATAACACATTTGGAGGATGAACGAATAAATTAGATAAACTAATAAAGATGCCTGATAATTAAATTAAAAGAAGTATTCAAATTTATTCGATTTTTTCAGAAAAACGTTCAAATCGATTTGTATCAATTTTAATAGCATATAGAGAGGCATATCAATTTATTTTTAATTCTTCTCAAAAATTTTACATCAATAAGGTTATAATTTATTTATTTATTGCTGTTCATTTAAATTTAAAACTATACAGCTTTTAAATATTCTAATTTATTTTTAAATTCTACCGTTATTTTAGATAAAATCGGAATTATATCGACAAAAATATTTCAACATATAATTTTATACATATGTTAGACCAACTAAAAGTTCATAAAATCTTGTTTTCAATTTTTGAGTTTAACGAATGTTTTTGAATATAAAATTTTTTAATAGGTACTAATCATTAAAAATAATTTTTCGAACATTTTGATTTTATTTTTTTTTTCAAAGTCAATTTATTCAATATGAAGTTTTTATCTATTGATAGAAAAATATACTTTATTTAATATACAAATCCAACAATGAAATTTCGATTAGAACATTTTCAATGGTATTCAAATTAGATTTTTTGAATGTAAATCCATGATCACTTCATTTTTTCTAATGATGTTCCTATTCGCAGCTACAGGACTATCAGTCTTCAAAGTGGATAAGACAAAGGCTTTCCCAGATGATTGCAAAACATTCCATGAACCAAAGAAGAATGGAAAGACCAAACTTGTTAACCTTAAGAAGGATGAAACTCTTTGTTTTGATAGCTCATATATAATGGGAAGTAGTTCCAAATTTGATGTATATGCTGCCATCCAGAAGCAGAACGAGACATCTCAAGAATGGTATTGGGAACACAAAGATAAAGTAGAAAGTGCTCTTGCTGTACTCGGAACTTATTCAGCAGAAGACAACGATTATATTGATCCTGTTGCAAAGGTTGTATGCACTGAAAAGACATGCAAGATTCAAGTTCTTGAGGTTTCTCCATCATATGGTTACGAAGTAAATACTACAGACAAAGGAGTCACAGTAACAACACGTTATGTCATGCGCTCATTCCTTAATTCGTTTAATGAAGGTGATCAGGAAACTTATGTCAGATTTTCCAAGAATAAAGTAAATGATAATCAGGTATCTAAAACAGAAGAAAGATCAGCTGCTTTCTTTGCTTTCCCAGAACCACGCCACATGACATTTTCAAGAAATGAGAACTTAGGATACCTTTACTCTGGAACAGGCAAGTGGGATGATAAGAAGATATCAGGCACCATCGGATCTCCAAAGACTTCTTATTTCTATGTCAATGAAAAGGAAGACTTTAAGCCAACTGAAGACAAAGAAGGAAATTACGATCTCAACATGTCATGCAACTTCACATGGAGCAAGAAGGAGAAGTCGTCTAGCGAAGATTCTGAACCAACAGAATTCTACTTCCCAGAAGTTTCCGGACAGTTCTCCACCGAAGGAGGCGTTTATACAGCAGATGATTTCAATGAAGCTTCATCAGGAGGACTCCCAGGATGGGCCATTGCTCTCATTGTCATCGGTGTAGTCATCGTAGTTGCTGTAGTTATTGTTGTTGTCGTCATTGTTGTCAAAAAGAAAAATTGATTGACTAAAAACTTTTCATTTTATTATTTCACCACTACCAAATATTTCACATTAATATGAATTTCGGTAGATTGAGTTTAATTCTCCAAAACTATATGAGTTCTTCACTATGAGACAGGGATTGTTAGTATTTTGTTGAAAATTGAACAACGGACCACGATTTTCAGAATAATTTTTTTTATTGAATTTTTTTTCATTTTTCTTTAAGAATACTAATTGTCATAAAGGGTAACATTAAAAATAATATATGGTCATTACCTTCGGAACCATTTATTCAATACTTTTACAAACAATTTATATTATAACTTAGAATTGAATTCTTGCTCATAAAATAGATGCTCTCTGCACGATGCTTTGCTGATATGCAAGTCAATCCCATTTTACTATTGATTTTTTTTATAAACTCAAGCTCTTTGCCTTTTTTATGAATATATTTTGTAAAGTTATCAAAATTCAATTGCCGGATAAAATATTAAACATCAAACAACATATCTTGAAACAAACAGGATTCAATTTTTCATTTTTCAATGCGTTTCAAAATTTCACAGTTCAACCGACATTTTAAAATCTCTCTCGAACACTATCTTGTTAGTCATGAATTTAGGGAATAAAAAAATAATGGCTCAATTTTTTATTCACTTCATTAGTTTGCCAGTATGTTTTTCTTTGTTACGTCTGTAGTTTCGATATATCATGTTAACAAGACACTTGCTTACCCAGATAATTGCACGGAATTCCATGAACAGAATCCCAATGGCAAGTCCAAGATTCTTAACTTAGTTAAAAATCAAGTGCTTTGCCTTGATGCATCCTACATAATGGCTAGCAAGTCCAAATTTAATGTATATGCTGCATTCCAGACTTACAATACTTCAAATAATACATGGTATTGGGATCGCAAAGAAAAGGTAGAAAATCCACTTGTTATTCTTGGATCATATTACCAACCAGATAATGAGTATCTTGACCCAGTATCAATGATTGTTTGCGCTGACAAAACCTGTTCAATTCAAATTCTTGAAGTCGATGCAACATTCGACTACACAGTCAACCAAACAGAGGGTGGAGTAGCGAATATATTCCGCCATGTTCGTAAATCCTACTTGTTCACAAAGAGTGAAGGCAGTATTACAGCTAATGTTCGCCTTACAAAGGTCAAAAACACAAAATCAATAGAAACTACAGTTGAGCAATCTCGAGTATTCTTTTCCTTCCCAACTCTCAGTAGAATAAACTATTCTCATAGTGAGAATTCTCGTTTCTACTATTCTTATGCCAAGAAGTGGGATGATGAATATACAAATAAAACAAATGGAACAATCGCTGATACAAAGACATCTTTCATGTATGTAGAAGAGAAGGATTCTTATAAACCAACACCAGATAAAAATGGAAACTACGATGAGGCTATGACCTGCAATTTCTCATGGGCAAAGAGTGAAAACAAACCAAACAAGGCCTCGGAGCCGACAGAGTTCTTCTTCCCAGAAGTTTCTGGTCCATTGCCAGAAGATAACGGAATTTATTACGCAAAGGATATTAAAGAACCATCGAAGGGGCTCTCAGGATGGGCTATTTTCACAATAATTATCGTTGTTCTTGCTGTTATTGGCATTATTGTCGGAATCGTCTTCTGGTGGAGAAGGAAGAATCAAAAGTACGAAACTATTTAATAAATTTCTATTTTACAAATACTATGGTTTACTATTTCAAATGACTGAGCTTTCCATATTAAATTGCCATTCTAAATTGAGTAGTTTTAGGATTGGTTGTTCTTGCGATCTATATGCAATCAGCCAAAAAATATAATAATCACTCCCAAAATAAAGATACTGCTAGACATCCGATTCAATATTGATTCAATTTGGATTTTGGTGCATCCGTATATGGAAGAATCTGCGCTTTACTTTAATGAAAATCAACTGATCTAGAAAGTAATATTCAACTTCGCATCTCTAAGTCTTTTTTCATTCAACCAATATTCAATGATTTTGTAAATTTATGAAAATTTTTGACAAAATTTTAATGCAAACTCAAAAATTCGTTGAAACTCTTATTAAAACGCTATTCCTATCAGAAGGAGATTCTCAAACAGATTTCCTTATGGAGCAGTTGCAGTTACTCCCTCAGAAAACTGAGATTTCAAGTATAATTTATTCAATGTTTACGAAATCCACGGATAGATCAAGGGAGAGAATATTATATTTATATTTGAAGTATGTGTTACAGAATGAGACAATTTTAGATAAAGAAAGTCAGGATGAATTGTTTAATTTACTTAAAACCATCACAACATTGCAATATTCTAGTCTCACATTTTCAAGATGCAATCTAATAATACAAACTATGAAGTCTATTATTGCAAATCTTACGAAATATAATTTATCATCAATTTCTTCTGCAGTTTATTCATGGGATTCACAAATAAAACCATTAGCTATGGTTAGTATTTCACTAGTTTACGATCAATTTACAGGAAATGCTCTTTCATACCTAATTGAAAACAAAAATTTGCTAAATACAGAGACTCAAATCTCTGCTTTCTATATGTTTTTCAAACACTTCAAATACGAATCTCTTGATACTCAAATTCAATCATTATATGATAATAAACAAGTTACAAAATCACTTGGATTTTTTATCGAATTTAACATCGACAAATTTACAGTCCCTACATTACAACTTATAAATTCTATGTTTTCTTTCTTAGATCCACCAGAAAGTGCAACATTATGCTATAGTTTACGTGATTCTTTACAAAAACAATTGAAAAAGGATGATATCTCAATTAGATTAGCAGCAGCATCCGTAATATCATGCTTAAAACCATGTGATACACATGAATTCTTTAATACTGTTGATCAATTAGTTTATTTCTTCCCATTATTTATTTTATCACCAAAAGATATTGATAATCAAATGTGTGACTATGCATTTGAATTTATTGAACCAAGAATTAACCATAGTGAGTTCAAAAGACTGTTTTATGATTCTTTTATGAGCGCAATTGTGATTTCTTCAAAATTTGATGTTTATTCATTAGAAGATTTGTCATCACTATTCCCTGAAGATATAAGACTTGATATCGCTGTAAATTTGACTTATTTGGCGACTCATCATAGTAATTGGTTGACAAAAAGTGAAGATTTAGTTAAAAAAGTGACAAAATCATTACTTTTTTCATTACAATCGTATGAAAAGAGTTTAGGTGAAGCATTAGCCGGAGCATTCTTTCAATTCGCTGAAGAGTGTCAGAATCATTTAAATTCCTTCTTAGAGAGTTTACTAGAAAACATTTATTTGTTTAGTTCATCATTTACAAGAAAAACTTTTTCTCATTCTTTAAATTTGTTGTTGGAACTTAATCAAGATTTAATTCCTCCTTCTGTTGAACAAGGATTCTTAGTTAAAGCATATGTTACTTATATGTTAATATATGTTAATGAAAAGACACAAGGAAGAGAAGAAATTCTTTTAATTTTGTTGTTGTTGAAAACATCATTTTTGTCAGAAAAAATTGATCAAAAAATTTTGAATGAATTGGTCAGTTCACCTTTTGCAAAAATATTTGATTTGTTAATACCTGAAGGTATTGCTGATGATGTTCATAAAGCATTGTTAGATATTGATTCGTACGAAGCAAATATTCTTTGTATTTCATTGAATTCGAATGTTGTTAATCCCGAAAAAGTTGCGAAAAACGCAGAATCAATTGAACCATTTAATCTTGAACGATTTCTTTTGTTTTATGAGAATTGCGGATACAGGAATCCAACAGTATCTATTGATAGATTAATTAAACTTCTCAACCAAAAACAAAATTCTCTTCTTAAAAGAGTTTTGTTCAATCAACCTTTAGTTATTCCAAAAACAGCAATTTTTGAAGGTTTCTCGAAGATTATTCGGTTTTCTCCTGAAATCAAACCAACGCATGCACAAGCAATGCTCACTATTTTTGATAGCAATTACTGTTTATCAAAGGAAAGTCTAGAATTCTTATTCGTTCTTCTTGAAAAATGTAATAATCAGAGAATGAATATTTCTGCAAATTTACAAAATATTATTTTATCAGAACCATTTTTCGGAAAATGTTTACCGAATTTCATCACTGTAATTGAAAGATCTGATGAGAACTTAAACAAAAGTTTGAAGACTTTCTTGTCTGCAATGAAAAGTGACAAAAACATTCTATCATTTTCTGACATTTTTCTCAAAAATTGTTTCATTATAGAAAAGAAAGCAGACTTTGACTCATTTGTTGATATTGTAATAGAAAATGGTTTATCAGACATAAATATACTGAATTTTATGTCTCTTTTATGTGAATATTCTCCAGATGAATTCAAAAATATGCCAAAATTATTGTCACTTTTAATTCAATTATTTTTGTCAGAAAATGAAGAAGAAAGAAAGTTTTCTTTGATTTCAACACAAAGAGTTTTCAAAATAGAATCAAATATTACTGAAAGCAAGGCAATTGATACAATTTATATATCTGAAATTGAAGTATTTTTAACACAAATAATTTCAAAAATTTCAAAGAAAACAATTCCTTTAATTATGAAAGAATTAATGTCAAAAGAAGTCACTTTTGTGTCACTTTTATTCATTAAGAACATTATTAATATTACAGGCATCGAATTCGTCACGAAAGAAACATTTGAATTCATTTTGAAGTTGACAGAAAAATCAGACAAAAATGTACTTTACATGTCAAAAGAAATTTTACAAAAAATATATAATACTAAGAAAGAATTTTGTTTTGAAAACGTTTTCAATCTCAAAAACAATTTAGTGACAAAAGATTTTGTATCAAACAATTTCGATGATGAGTTTTTGGTGATATACTTGAAGTTGTTAAAGAAACATTCAATAGATACTTCGAAATCCATTGATAATTGTTCTTTCCAATTTGCTTTTTGTCAAACGTCAAATGTCAAAATTTTATGGATTGTTTTTTATTTGTCTATTTTGGCATTAAACTCTGAAGAATGTTTGTCATCATCAGATTATAGCTTTGTTGCTAATCAGACAATTATGTTAGTTTCAAAGACATTTTCTTTGTTCGGAGTTGACACCAAAAAACTTTCTTTCTCTCATTTCAAATCTCAAATTGAAATGTCATCAATTTTCACAGAATTTTTGAGAAAAATACCAAAACATGACTTTGAAAACTTTGTTGATCCAACAAGTGAGATCTTTGCATTTGAAAGAAGAGATAGTAATGATATTGTTGTTTCTACAGTGTTTTTGATTTCAGATTTGTATTTAATTTACAAAGATGAAAGATATGAAGACACAATAGCAAATATATGTCTTGCTATGAGAGATGATTCATGTAGAGACACTGTTCCTTTCTTTTACAAAGTTTTTGAAAAAGATATTTTATCTAATTTCAAGAAATCAACAATTTCTAGTATTTTCCATGCAGTAAGAAGAACATTAATCAATCCAGATAGTTCACCACAAAGAATTGCTTGTGTATTAATGTTTTGCAGAGTTATGCAGTTTGTTTCAAGTGAAGACATTTCTAAACACCAAGAAAAGATATTTGAAGTCATTTCTCAGTCTTTGGAAATCTCTCATTTAATCCAGATTTCGCATCTTTTAGATGCAGTTTCTGCTTACGTGGAAGTTGATTCAGACATTAATTCCTTCTTGAATATGAATCAACTATCATTGCCAAGACTATTAATACTATCTGTTAACGATGATGAAGTCGTCAGAGAAAAATCTAAAACAATTATTAAGAAATTGGCAAAGATAGATAATGATGATAACTTAATTAGTGGTATTGCAGCAATTATAGGCATTGAACAGACTGATGTTATTGGAAGAGCTTTTCTAAACTGGGTTGAAAAGAATCCAATAAATCATCGCGTAATGTATATGATTTATTGCTTTGTTGATTGTTTGTTACCTAATAAGAGATCGAAATTCATTGAGAAAGTCTATTCTGTTCTACTTTCTATTGTTGATAAAAATGATGCCAACCAGAGAGATGCGATTCAGCTGATGTCGACAATAATATCTAAGAAATAAATGTATTTTTAGTTTATATGTATATTAAAAATAAAGATTTTTTTTCACAAATTTAATAATTTATCATAAATCGCTGGATTCTCTTGATTATCCATCTGATTTAACTGAAAATAGAATGTTCTATCACTACTGTGAATCGATAATCAAAAATAATTTAAATGACCAATTAATTTGTAATTAATAAGTAGAATGAACTTAACAATAGTATAAAAATTTATTCATGGTAAAATAAACAAATCAAACAAAATATATAAAAGTACAAAAAAATATTATATGCTTTTTTGACTATTTTTTGGAGTTTTAGACTCAACATATTCACCAACAAAGGAGTCCCAAGCTTCGTCATCGCTGATTTTATCAGGATGAGTCTTGATATACTGTAAAGAAGCGTCTAATTCGAGTAAATCTTTGTATTCGAGCTCATCTGATTCTAAAAACTTCTTTGGTGCTGAGCTCCATATATAAGATCGAGTGCGTTTTGAATTAATAATCGGAATTTTTCTTTTAGTTGTTTTTGTAACGATTGTGACTGTTTTTGTTGGACTAATAGGTTCCAGTAAATGACCTTTTCCGTTCGCTTTAATTTCGTCAATTACATTTGTAACGGTAAATTGTACATCGCCGACTTTTGGTACTCTGCGTATTATGATTGGATCGACTTTAAAAGCTTCCTTCTCAGGTTTAACGGCAAAAATAAGGGTTTTAGAAAATCACATTTTTTGAAGTTATCGTTCAAATACAATATGGAACAAAAATATAGCCTTCCAGATTATTTCACAGCATCTAAAGATATAGGGGAAAGACTATCAGGACATATGTTTGTAAATTGCTTCAATCTTGTTGATATTTGCCATATTTTAGATTTGGTCCAATTAGATATTTTTCAAGCCACAACACTTTTTACAGATTGCAAATCTAAATTCAAATCATCACAAGCTTTTAAGATATTTCAACATACTAAAGTTGATTTAGGAACTGAAAATTCTTCAATATTAGAATTCTTAACGGTTTTGAATATGAATTTGAAATCTCCTATCATAAAATCACTATACATCTATATAAATCAACTCATAGAATCAAATATCTCAAAGCAAAATGAAATTAACGAATTAAGAGAAGAAATTCGCAACATACGCGGACAAAATCGTAGACCTGAAGATAGAGTAGTTATTACTTCCTACAAACCTGATGTTAAAGCAAAAAAAGATCTATATCTTGATACATTAAAAAATCTTGCAGAGCAAAGATCAAAAGAATCTCCAAATTCAACCGTGAGCGCTGACTTCCTCAGAAAAGCAGAAAAAATACTGAACGGGCTGAACACATTACCTGGAAAAGAAATTCCAATAGAATCACAGGAAGAAGACATTCCGACTTTACGAAATGAATTTGCCGCTCTCAAATCTCTTGAAGAAACAAAAATAAATACAAATTCGCAGAAAAATGAAATTTCCGGGCCAAAACAAACAGAAGAACATATTAAATACTTGAAAGAAAACTCCAAAGACAAAAAAGACTTCAATTTAATACTTTCTGCGCTTCAAGAGTTCGCAAATTCAGGAGATTTAGATACAATTAAATGGGCATGCGCCAACGGATATGCAGATATTGTTGATGACCTCGGAAGAGACATATTCACCGCAGCAGCTGCTGAATGTTCTTTAGATTTGTTGAAAGCTTTAGTTTCTTGCAACGTAGACACAAAACACCTTGACAAATCAAGATTGGGACCACTTCACTGGTCAATACAGAAGAATCGCTTTGATATTGCTGAGTATTTAGTGGTTAATAAACTTGTTGACGTAAATGTTAAAGATACATCGGATCTAACACCACTACACTATGCGTGTGCAAAGAATTGTCTGCCATTAATCAAAGCTCTTGTTAATTCTGACGGAATTAAAATAAATCAAAGTAATCAAAGCGGAAAAACGCCATTAGACTATGTTGGAAGAGATGATCAAGCAGATAAATCAAAGACTGAAGAAGTTAAGTCATTCTTGGCTTCAAAAGGAGCTATTTAATTATATTTTGTTTAATTTACTTTATAAAATATTTGTTTTGTTGTGTTTAATCTACTATTTTTATATAAAATTTCATCATAATCATATTAGTGCATCATTTTTATCAAAATTACTTTCATTTGCAGGTTTGAAATGTAATTACGAATTTATTGAGCAACAAGAACAAGAAATATAATGCAATGTACCATACAGATGCTATCTATAGTTTTATTTCTATTGTAAAGTATTGCGTAATGAGTTTTGGATGCTTTTTGACATTTGGCGGATGAGTAAATTAAAATTATTTATATATCCATCAAGAATGTAATATATCTTTGTTGAATTTAATTGAATCGGTTTGACAATTTTTTTGAAAGTTTTGTGAAAAGGACATTTCATATCCCAAATTTTGCTCCAATAGATATGTATTATCATGTTTTTAATGTCTGTAGACGGTGAAAAAGTAGAATTGAATTTGACGATGTACTGTCTTTGTGTACATGTGCCAGATTCAAGATTTCCATCAGTTAGAATGGCTATAAAAGATGCAGAGTACATGCTCAAGTCGAATGATTCTACTGTTATTTTAATTTGGCATGATACAATTAAAGATGTAGATTTCTTTTCTTCACTTTTACCTTGGCAAATAGTAAATCGTATTCCAAACATGAACTACTTATGTAGGAAAGCACCATATGTGTATGGTGTCCAAAAAATTATGCCCTTTTTCCCAGGAGTTTTTACTTTTCTTCCTCAAAGTTTCGTTCTTCCAATGCAGGAAGCAGCATTTGTGGAAGCATTCGACAGTCAGAATAAGAAATTCATCATAAAGCCAGATGGCGGCTCATTTGGAAGAGGAATTACAATTCTCAACCCCGGTCAAACATATGTACCGCAAAAAGGTCTCGCAGTTGCCCAAGAATATATCGAATCTTACTTGTTAGACGAAAAAAAGTTTGATTTCAGAATTTATGTATTAATTGCATCAGTAACTCCGCTTAAAATCTACATATATCGCGACGGTGTCGCACGTTTTTGCTCAGAAAAGTATTCCGCAAACTCTGTTTACTCTCAATTAACAAATGTTGCCTTAAACAAAGGCCGTCCTGGTGTTGACATGGCCAAGATATCTCAACTCATCTCAGACGTTCTACCTATCATGGCCGCTCGCGGCGTCGATGTTGACTTACTTTGGAAGAAAATTGATCGCGCAATTACTTTAGCTGTTATCTCATCTTACGGCAGTTTAGTACGCGGTGAGCGTCGTAGATGTCCAGGTAAGGCATATCCTCGCTGCTTCCAAATGCTTGGATTCGATGTTCTCTTTGATAAAAACTTGAATCCATGGATTTTGGAAGTAAACTACAGACCAAGCCTCAAATTCTACAGAGGACGAGAAAGGAGAATGAAAGTAGGCATGATTAAAGATGTCCTTCGTATTGCTTGCCCTCTACAAGCAGCACAAGCAGCTCTTCTCGCGAGAAGATGGGGATGGACTGAAGAAACATGGACAACGTTCGTAGAAGAGAATCCAGACGTGTTGGCCGCATGCAAGATGTCAAGGAAAGAAGCTGTGAAGAACTCTAAGTTTGTTAAAACGTTTCCTCCGAAAGAACAAGAAAATATGATTTACCATGACATATTAAAGAAGGTTTTGGAGTTACCAGAAGACCAAATTGAAGACCCAGAATTGGGTAAAGATGGCTGGAAGAATAGATTTGAAGATGTTGGACCTGATAATTAATTTTTTTTCTTTTTGTTTTGTATATTATATTGTATAGAGATGATTTTTCACTTTGATTGTATGAATGCATTGGATGAAAGTGAAATAATCTATTATAAATTGTTTATATTATTTAACATTTTAATTTTTTATATAGGTTTGCCTTATAATTTTACTTAACTTTTCCAATACTTTGTTGTATTTAAAGGTACAAGCCTAAAAACTATGAAAGAACAATTTTTCATTATATGTTTTTTGCTATTGTTGCATCATCGGCTTCTCATATAGTAAATGTGTTATGGCATTGCCTTAGTAGCAAAAGATATTTCATTCTATCATCATGTAAAGTAATTTTAGTCAAAATTTCCCATGATATTGAGATATTGGTGTTCAAACTTCAACAGGAATATAGCTTTGCTTCCAAGCGAGCAAATTTGCAAAATAAAAGTTTTCCTAACAGATCAAGGAAAAAATTTTTCTCTTCTCTCAAGTGGGATAAAAAGTGACAAAATGTTAATCTTTCTCATCTTCTCTTTAGCTGAAGTTGAGAATGATAACCTGACTTCGCCACTTGAAAATCAAACAACAACAGAAATAACAGATATATCAAATTCAGTAAATTCTACAGAAGTAAACGATGAGAAAGAAATTTTAGAAGATAACGTTAATTCAACTTTAAATCTCACAAATACTGACGACGATGATATCCAAATTGACCCTGATTTGGAAAACGATGCTGTTTCAGAAGATTTCGATTCAAAAGTTCTGGAAGCCCTAAAAGAAAATTCCACGCTTCCTAAACCTACACCTAAACCACGTGTTAAGCAAGAATATCTCTTGGAAGAAGGAATTGAAGTTATGCAACCAGAACCTGAAGAAAACGAATCAGCTGATTTTGAAATATCTCTAAATTTGCCTCTAAAGCCAGGAGATGATCCTTCTTCGAACAATTCTAAACCGCAAAAAATTATATTTTTCAATTCTTCGAAAATAGCAGTCGGTCAAGTAGTTTGTTCCGGTCCGAATACAAGAAAAGGGAAGAAAGGATTTTGTGAATGTGTTGAAGGCTTCGAACACGGAGATCCTTCATCAAGATACGGTTGTTATCATTGCAATCAAAAGTGCCACATCAAAGCCGAATGTACATATCCAGGCAAATGCGCTTGTAAAAACGGAATGGTCGGCGACGGAGTCAAAACTTGTCTTATACCAGCCCCTCACCTTTTGAAGGTTGATCTCCTTCTTGTGCAAGCTATAGGTGGAGAAAATATCACTGTTACATACTACACTGCTTCTAATTATACTCAGGAATACGGTTACTGCAAATTTGGCTCAACTGTCGTAAAAGGAAAGATTCTCAATGACGGAGAGCTTATTTGCCCTGTTCCTCCGTCATCAAAAAGAGGATTGAAGCTTTCAATGTCGTTTGATTCTGAGACATGGTCCGAAAACTCCATCATTATTATGTATCATCAGCGATCATCATGGATATCAATCATTATTAAGTTATTATGCTTCTTCTGCGGATTGGGTGGAATTATTTTTTACATATTTAAGAGACAGAAGATCGTTATCAATCCAGAGATAGATATTAAAGGTGAAGAAACCCCATTCCATCTATCAAAGCAGACATATCAGGATGATTTCTCAGCAGATTTATAATTTTTTTTTATCAAGGATATATCTTTATAATTTTGTAATATAAACTGTATTTAAAATCGTGTATTTCTATTCTTTTTACTATGATGTCATGAAATCGATTCATATCGTCCGATGATTTCTATTGCTTGCATTTCAGGCAATGAATATGATAGTAAATTACTCAATCAAGGTTATGCTTGATTATTGCCAATCAGAAACTTTGGACAACCTATTGCTTTTGCTGCTATTGTATTAGCCTTATCAAATTGAGTAAGTATTCAATTTTTCAACACAATAAATGCTATTTCATACATAGCATTCTAACATATAAATGACAATTTTCTCAATTTTTGAAAGAGAAATTTTAGTTTTGTAGAAATGATGTTGAAATTTTTATTATTAGAAGGTAAAATAATCGTATTTTATTCATGAAAGAGTGAGATAAGACTGTAAAACTATTAATTCTATGAGTTTGCTCTAAATTTTCGATTAAAAAAAATAATATCCGTTTATACATACAAACAAACAAAAACATAATATATTATATATCATCAAATGTCAATGGTCGGTATTTTGTGTTCTCTTTTTGAGATTCTTCTTCATAATAATCTGAAGCTTCGCAATCGAAAGAGAATCCGGTAAATGCATCAGATTCCTCATGAATTGGTGTTGCGAGGGATTCAAGTATTGGCTCATCTAAAAGTTCGTGATCAAAGTTAGAAGGAGCTCCCAATTGAATGATATCTGGCTTGTAATGGTGAGGAATATTCCTTTGAAGAATATCTTTGAACTTGATTCCATTAAAGAATGGATGATGAAGGAGAAATCTGATATCTTTTCTGGTTTCGGGGTTTCTATCAAGTAAATTCTTAATGAGATCCTTTTCATCAGATGTTGCATCAGGTGGGAATTCCAACGGTGCGGAAATAATCTTTTTGAATAATTTGTCCATGTTATCGTCATACCATGGTGTCTGGCCGTACAAAAAGCTGTACATAACAATTCCAAGCGCCCACCAATCGATTTTCGGACCATACTTCTGTGATTTGATAATTTCTGGTGCCAAATACTCGGGAGTACCGCAGAATGAGTGTGCACCTTTTGAGTAGGCAATATCCTTGACTAATCCAAAGTCTGTAAGCTTTACAGATCCTGTTTCATCCATAAGGATATTTTCTGGTTTAAGATCGCGGTAAATAATATTATTTCTATGAATATATTCTATAGCTAATGCCAATTCGGCAATGTAAAGGCGTACATCGTGCTTCTCGAACTTTTTCAGATTGTGTAAATGAAAAGCCATGTCTCCGCCTGCTACGTACTCAAAGCCCATGTATACCTTTGACGAATTCTGAAAAGCAAAATAGATGTGAACGATGAAAGGGTGATCTGTCTTCATCAAAGTATTTCTTTCGTTGATAACTGTAATTGCTTTATGTGCTTTCATCAAGCGACTTTTATGTACAGACTTTATAGCATATCTTTGTCCGGTACTTTTCTTCTCGCAAAGGGTAACCTTTCCATAATAACCTCTACCGATAACGTTTATGGGAATAAAATCATCCATTGAGAGTTGTTGATTCTCAATTGACATTGTTCTAATAGCGTTGACCCAAATCCTGAGAGTTGAGATATCCGGTGTAGAGAGACGAAGAGGCCTGGAATCTGGGTATTTTAATGTAAAACTCGGATGTTTCCTGTTTTCATCTATTAAACACTCTATTTCTGGGGTAATTTTGACCATTCTATCGAAAATTTTTCTTTCTTTATTAAGATAAAGGAGTAATTTTTGTTCTTTTAGTCGTAGAACGCAGTATCTTTTATGCCAAAACCCGAATTTAGTTCCTTTCTTGATGAAAGGAGCTGTAAGTTCTTCATCTAAATCAACTTGCTTATTCATTAAAAATTTATATTCGAATTTCTGACGCTTTAGAAAATTCTGATCACGAAATCTGAAACAGTTTATTTTACAGTAAAAATTAAAACTTTTTATCAATAATAATGGTCTTAGGAATTAGTGCGTAAATGCAAAAAAAAAAAAAAAAAAAAAAAAAAAAGGTAGTGGGGCTTCCAGGCACTTCGTGCCCTCTAGCCCCCCGTCACTTTTCTGTCACTTTTCAGGAAAAAACATTTTTATTATATATATAAAATGAATTTTACAAAACCACCGTTACCCTTCTTTGGAAATAAGAGTAGATGTAAAGATATTCTATTGAGAGAACTTAAGAAACTACCGAATGGTCTAACATTTGTAGACTTGTTCGGTGGAAGTTTCTATATATCTCATTTGTGCCATACTGTATTTCCTGACTCAAAGATTATATGCAATGACTTCGACAACTATATGAACCGTCTCAAACATATACCAGACACAAACAAAATATTGAAAGAGTTAAAAGAAAAGATACCTATAGGTAAGATGGAACGTATACCATTAGATAAGAAAAATACTGTCAGAGAGGTTTTGAAAAAGGCAGAGTATATTGACTGGGATAGTATATCTGCTAGACTATTATATAGTGGTGCTATAAGAGTTCATGACATTGAAACACTTATGTCAAAAGTTTTATATCTTAACTATACAAATGTTTTCAAAGAGAACATAGAAAAATATATTGAGGGTATAGAGTTTGTGAGATGTCATTGGACAGAGTTGTATGAAAAATATAAAGACAAGGAAAATGTTTTCTTTATAGTGGACCCGCCGTTCTATAACACATGGGATTTTCAATACCAAGTAGACTGGACTTTGAGAGACTCTTTAGAAACTTTAGACGTTTTACATAACCATCCATGCTTTTACTTTACATCCGATAAAAGTGGTTTGGAAAGTGTCATGAGATGGTTAGAGGACATACATGACTATGAGTTTAGATACGATAAGATAGAATATGAGAGAGGTCCTATAAACTGGAGAAAGTGTCATAACAAAGAAATTTTACTAGTAAGTAAATGTGGTTTGAAATAGGACTACTTGTTTTAGGTTTTTTCCATTGTGTCATTTACTTATTTGACGTGGCAGAAAGATATAGAGAATATGAAGATGAACCAATGCCTGCAAATGTTCAGCATATGTACTCGTAAGAGATATTTTTATCTAATATTAAATGGACGCACAGAACTTAGCGAATGCACAGCAACCTGGACAACCAAACCCAGAGAATATTCCAAATGAAGTTAGAATACAAACTGCAATGGCAAACTATGGTCAAGTGCCAACAGATGTACAAATGCAAACTGCCATGTCAAATGACGCTGCGTTAGGTTTGCCACCATGGTATGCAAATATGAGATGGAAAGAGTTTTATACAAACCCGAAGTGGGATATAAACAACTCTATGCAGATGACGCGAACACAGGAGTTGACCCAGAGTATGTTTTCTACCAAGAGGAGAAATAGAATGTATGAGCTCCAGTTAAAGAATGCTATGGAACTCAGAAGGAAACGTAAGAGACTAGGTGGACATTAGATTTTTACATATAGTAAAATGGGTTTCTTTGGAAGAATAGGAAACTTCTTTCGAAATGTTGGAAGAGGTATAATGGAATGGAATAAAAACCGTCGGAAGAGGAATTTGGAACGGAGTCAAAAATATTGGCAAAAAGAGTAGGTCAGTTCGTTGGTATTATACCTAAAGACCCTGAACCAGAAGAGCAAGCTCCTGTTATACAACAGCCTGAACCTGCACCACAGTCTAGTTGGCAACAAATCCAACACCTCACCGTATTAAAAAATCATATTTTTATCGTTCGATAGTAGTTGTATATGAAACTAAGTTCTAAGTAAAACGCATGGTATAATGGAATTATTCTTTTTCTTCCATCTGTAGTAAACATACTTGAAAGTCTGAAATACTTCCACTTGGTGGTTCGTATAACTTTGTAGGTTTTTCGTAAAAGTCATTTGCCAAGCATAAAAAAGAGTTTTGGGCGCCAGAAAATGAAGCATGAACAATAATAGCATCTTGGTCGAAAATATTTTCATATGTTCCATTAGGGTTTTTCGACTTCATAAAGTCTGGGTGTACTGGATATGCTGCAGGCTGATTTAACATCCTCATAAATCTATACCATGCCAAGTTGTTTATATTTTGTAGAAATATAAACGTTTTCTCCAAGGTCTTCTATTTTATTGATTTTAACAGTTGCATTTTTCCTGTCATAAATAATATCGAGATGGTACTCTCCTTCGTCAATGTTATACTGGTTTGCATATTCGATATAGATATCGTTTATTTTTTCTTGAAAAGCTTGAAGAGTTGTTTCTAAGTTTACAAGCAAACTAACTTGTAAAAGTTTTCCCTGTTCAAATTTCTCATACGTACGTTTTTCTTTGTTATAGTATCGAACTTCAAAAGCGACCGTAAATGGGAAACCATGTATGGCTTCTGAAATGAACTTCATTCTACGAAAGCCAATAGCTTTTGTGACGGATGGGTCTCTTAACATCTAAGGGGTAGTCAAAACGATAGCCTTCATGCTTTACGGTCTCTGTCTCAAACTTTTGACCGACATTAGTAAAAAGTTCATCTAATGTTTTAGTTGTAGCAACTCTTGAATTTTCTTTTTCTATTGAAGCATATTTTATCTAGAATAAAAATGTCGAAAGAAACAGCGTCTATGAGAGAAAATACAACACAACCGACAACTCATTTTGCAAGCTCTAAATAAGAACACAACAAACTTTTCAAACTATTCTAAGATATCTGAGTCATTGAAAGAAGGAAACTTAAAACTGACATTAAACCAATGACAGACGAGTTTCTGTTTCAAGACAGTAAGAACCAATAGTTTTGTATAAATCCAACAAAAGAACTTTAAACGAGAAACCTATAGATGAACTTCTTTTGAAAGCAGATGTTGGCAAACAAAGCTGACAAAGAATATGTCATTGAAAAAGTTCAAGAAGACATGACAGAGCAGATGCAACATATGCAACAAAAGAACATACTCATCCTGAACTAGCAGACAAAACATATGTTGACAATAAAATGTCAAGTGAAGTGACAAGAGCTGACAAAGAATATTCTAAAAAGACTCATACACATACCATTGCAAATATTACAAACTTACAAGAAACCTTAAACAGGAAAGTACGTGAGCGATCTAACAATACACATACCATTGCAAATATTACAAACTTACAGAAACTTAAACAGGAAAAGTGACGTTGGACATACACATACCATTGCAAATATTGCAAACTTACAAGAAACCTTAAACAGGAAAAGTGACGTTGGACATACACATACATTGCAAATATTGCAAACTTACAAGAAACCTTAAACAGGAAAAGTGACGTTGGACATACACATACATCTTCTGAAATAACAGACTTAAACGTTAGCCTTGAAAAGAGGCAGATAAGAACCATACACACGATTTCTTCGCAACTGTTGGTATAGAAAATATTGCAGGAACGGTTGAAGAAACTGGGGAGTATTAAATTGGAAACCTCCTAACTTTCCACAAGGTTTAACATCGAGGATGACATAACGACGATGAAATACACTAGATGTAGAAATGTCTATGTCATGGAGGATGAAAAACAAGTTAAATTCACTGCTCAAGTTTTTATATGATAAAAAGCTGACAAAAATTTGTTAACGATGAGTTAGATAAAAAAGCTGACAAAACATATGTTAACGATGAGTTAGATAAAAAGCTGACAAACAGAGCTTCAAACGTTAAAGACAGAAATACTTCAAAACACTATATCCTATAGGTTCTATTTACACGTCAATGAACTCTACCAAACCAGAAGTAGTACTTGGTTTTGGAACTTGGACTCAAATAGTCGACAGGTTTTTGTATTGTGCAAACTCTTAAAAGGAAACAGGTGGAAGTAAAACGATTTCAGGTGCAAATTTACCTGCGCACAGTCACTACATAAATTTAAGTACATCTGAAGCAGGTTTGCATAGTCATAGATTTGGGATTGGTCAGGAATGACAAAAGGTAAAGGATATGATGTTAAAGAGGACGTTAAGTTTGCTATAAATTGTTACTGGAGTAACACTGAGGTAGGAGGAAGCCTAACACATCGGTTTCAGGGTATACGCAAACAACGGGACAAGTAAAGACTACATGCCACCTTACATGACAGTTTACGCATGGTATAGAAATGCTTAGTCGTCATTTTCAACTTCTTTAGCATATTCGTCAGGAGTTGTCTTATATTTGTTAGGAACTGTCTTTGAAAGTATACCACCTTGAACTTTGACAAGTTTGAAACGAGGTCTGACAATAGTAGTTTTATCTTCTGCTTGCAGTCTGTACATTTTGCCATGTTTGCCTAAAACTTCATAATATTCTCTTGTATACTTTCTTCTATTTTTACGAACACGAATGTGAGTACCTGTCGAGTTCCCATTGTTGTCATAGTCAATAGTATTTTCATATGGGTCGCGTTTAGGTATTTCTATTTTTACTTTGTCACCTTTCTTAAGTTTGAAGCCTGGCATTCTTTCTTGTTTGTCTCTTTTGACTAAACTATTAAATATATAGTCTTTCTCTAAGTCAGGGTTGTTTTTCATTTCTTCGGGGGAGTGGTTTCCAAACCTTTTTGTTTACGGTATTGTAAATATTTAAAACTTGTCTCATCTTTGCCATGGAGAAGTGTCTATACTTGTCGTCATATGACATTTCATTTGCTTCACCACCTTTGTGGTTGGTTTAAGTCTCTTAACATTTTTATACAACTGTCAATGACACCAAGAGCAGAATGGTTTTGGTCGACAATGAAATATTGGTTTACATTTTTTTGAACGCAGATAGTTTTTAATATCGTCCTGATTTGAAAAGAACTTTCACAGTCAGATGTCAGTTTTGTTTGGATGGTATTTGTCAACGAATATTGTCAAAGCAGTTTTCACATCTAAAATATTTTGGACTTAATGG